CACTTATGTTTGATCAGGAAACCAATTCTGAAAAATAATGATACAAAGAGTCCTGTTCTGTTGTTTGCTGACAGGATTGGTTCTGTAGAGTTTGTTACGCATAGAACTCTGAAAGTCTTAGTCTGTGTGGTGTTCACTGCTTATTTAGCTCATGATGTGTCTTCTAGCATATAATGAACATGTTAACAAGGTAAAAACCTGGAGGGGGTCCTTCTCGCGCTTCCTGATATGTGTGAACCTTTGACATAAAACTGAAATGTCCCTCCTCTGTGGAGAACAGTTACAGCTCATCACTGCAGTTTTTCCACTGACAAACAAACAAGGTGAAGCCCCACAAGATGTTGTTTGAACTTTTCTTTTCTTTTCTTTTTTTTGTAACAACCTACTCAAACGTGAGGCGACTCGACACCTTCGTCATATGACGTGTTTTACATTCCCGGGTGACTTTCCACATCAGGCAGGCGAACGCACTCAGCATTAGGTGCAGAGGCAGGAAGTGGAGGAGGACTTCAACAGCCTCAGAGAAACTCCACTTGAAAGCAGAGCTGTCCATTACGACGTCAGCGCCGCCTCTTTGAATCGTTGCCCTTCTGGCTCTGCAACCAAAGGCTACGGTGAAGCCGTGTTGCGGTTGACGGGCTGATGAAACAAGCATATATATGCACCGGGCTTAAACCTCTTGATGTTTTGACCTTTAGTTTTAGTTGTTGTTTCAGTTTTTACTGTCAGATATTTCCATTTGATGGAATCATGCAGACATAAGATAAAAAGACTTAAGTATGCCAGTTTATTAGGGACGCATGCTAAACCTAATGCAGTGTAATACAGCAGTCCAGTGATAGAAATCCCACCTCCACGGCAGTCAGACTGGATTATACGGAGCTGTTTCTTGTATTTATCCCCACTGAGATGAACGTAGTGGATGAAACAACAGAACAACCTGTCAGTATGATGCAGCATAGTTCAGCAGCTCCTCTAAAATGATGACCACACGGTTGAACCACTTCAAAACACTTTCAACAAAAACCGAACAAGGGAGGTTTTTATTACGGAACTGTTGACTGCAGGTTTCATTATAACCGATACACGGATTAAAGAATGAGCTACAGCTGACTTGGATGGACTGTATGCAGTATGGGTGTGTGATTGTGCAGCTTTTACAAATCCATAAATACCTATCAGTAGAGGGATATAGTTGCCCCTGCCTGCCATGATGAGGCATTTTTGAAAAAGTGACCTTTGACGTCTCGTGGAGCTGCTCACCTGTAAAACACCAACTTGTTAAACCTTAGCACTAAAGCTAGCGACTGTTCACAGACACACACAGACACACACACACACACACACACACACACACACACACACACTGATTACTCTACAGCCTTCTGATCAGGGGCACCTATAATCAATAAAATACATCCTCACACCACACTATTTGCCGCTATCACTTCATGCATGTCGGCAATTCACATTTTTGAGTCAGTTCATTGATTTATTGACCGTACGTGTGCTTTAGCTTTTATCCCATAATCTCCTCTTGATTCCTTAAAGTTTCACAGCTTAGCGTTAAAGCTGCTTACATGTGAAAAAATGTGGACAAAAACAGTTTGTTTAGGTGTTAATTGTTTCTTGAAAAAAATATATCCGTGGTCACTTACTTTAACTAACTGGAAGCCCCACAGTGTGATTTTAATCTCTTATTCTTGTATATGGTTGGATAGATATCTGCAACTATGTGCAACTTGTGTTTTAACTCCAACTGTGAGTGTTTGTGTTGGTTTTTTCCCCGCTGTTATCTGAATTTCACAGCAGATTTACAACTAATGGCTCACAGCTCATAATGAAAAGACCAGCTCATTTGCAAACCTGAAAGCGTTGCTCGATAACTTGCATTATGAAACAATAGCTCGTTCGCTGTCAGTCATTTCGGGACTTTGACACGTTCTTTTTCTCCTCTCTGTGTTTTGCAGGGTGGTGGTGCCGCTGCAGACCCTCATGCAGGCCGACTCTCACCACAGCTGCTGCGCTGAATACACGGCTGGAGATACTGATCTGAATAGGGAGGATGCAAAGGTGGAAGCAGTCAGTGCTGGATTCAGTTTCACTGCATCTTAATGGAGCGCACACACACACACACACACACACAGACACACACCATTTTTTTTAAAATAGTATCTACTTCCCCCTTTTTTTTTGAGAGAGAGGACACAGATACACCCTGAATGGGCCCCTGTGGTGCTCTACATTGTGGTTGGGAAGTACCTAATGTTACAACTGTCATGCTGGTCTGCTTAAAGGGACAGTGTTGATCTCTTCTCAGCATTTTTTCAGGCTTTTGAGTGACCTTAAAAAGGGGTCATGAAGTTGGATGTTTGAGTCGTCTGCTTCAGTGTGAGGGAGTAGTTTGTCTGAGGAGGTGTCTGTTACACAGAGCTAAGGAAGACATAATAATATTTGTTAAAGGAGACTTGTGCTCATTTCCAGCTCCACTTTGAGTAGCTTTGCATGACTCACAGTCTAAAAAAATTCTTATTCTTATCATACTGCAGCAATCATTTTCAGAGAATACAATGTTGTGACAGATAGAAATAAACTGTAAATGTTAAGATCCCAATAAGAGAACTGAATTAAAGGTCTGTAACTTAAATAAGAATCACTCAACTTTATTGGCTAAGTTTGTACACACAAACAGGGAATTTGACTTTAGTGCAGTAATCAGAAAAAAAAAAAGTACTAAAATAAGAATATAAAAATAAAGTAAAAGTTGAAGAGTCAAGAAATACACTAGAACAATAAAAATACGAGCAATATAAATGTCCATAAACAGCAGCATTTACAGTGTGCGTGCAGAGTGGCAGGGTTACTGAGGTCGGTTGAGTGTATGTTTAAAATCATGCAAATATGCTTAACAAGATAAAGTTACTCAGCCCCTCAGCTGAGTTCTGTCTGGAAAAACAAAATATTGGCTCCTGTCTCTTTAAGGGCCTCCCACCCTGCTTTCAGAGCCCACTTTCTTCTGATTGGCCAACATCTGGAAGTCTGCACCACAGTGATTGTGAGCACCACCGCACTCTCTATCAGGTGTGAAGGTTAAGTAACATAATTGTTAATAAGACAGTGAACAGTGCAGACTTGTGCAGCAGCAAATATTAAAGCAGGACATCTTTGTTTGGTAAATGTTACACTTGTTACCTGCTAATGGTTGGATTTCGTCTTTCAATCATGAACTGTGTGTAAAAACTCGACTGCCTGCTGCTGATGAAAGAAATCCTCATCGCTAGAGTAGAAAACGTGTTAGAAACCTTGCTTTTAGAGCAGACTGAAAATGTTTATTTTATCATCTGAAACTGTGGCCACATTTAATTTGAACATCTATAATTGTAGTGTGTACATGACAGGTAATGAGGGGAAAGCAAAATATGTCTTGTTTAATGAAAACATTAATTTAATATGTTTAAAGCTGTTGTGTCCAAGAAAAATGAAGCAGAGCAACAAAGTCAAAGTCTCACAACTCGCTGCTGGGAGTAATGAGACTTTTAGGTCTGAGTACATTGTGAAGTTGTGATGTATTGTCAATGAAATCCAACCACACTGAGGTGAAAGGGGAGAGGAATTTGCTTTGCAATCATTTCTAAAAACCACATACATTTTTTCTTGCATAATTCCCTGTGAGTTTTGTAAGCCTTTTCTGGCACTTGACACTGTTGAATGTTTGGAAAAAGCTGCACACTTGTCTGAATAAATTTCTCAGTCTGGCAGCATGTTTACTGAGCGTGTGTTTTTCTTAGTGTCCAACAAGTAAGTGAAGTGTGTTCATTACAGTCCTGGGTGTTCTGCATCACTTCCTCCTGTTTACAGCTGCACAGGGTGAAAGCGTTTAATCTGTACATGAGCTCCATGCACTTTTCACCAGGGTCATTTACACACAGCGGACACTGTATCCACACTTGTTACGAAATCCACAACACAGAGGCATTGCTTTGTGAATCAGGTGTTGTCCTGCAGCATTTCTACATTTTTTGAAATGTTGCTAACTGAGTCACAGTTACAGTGTTCAGCCCAGTGAAGACAGAAACAGTATTAACCCTTTAAACTGCTAAAGGTTTAGAAGGCATGTTAGTCCTAAAAAAGTCGCCATAATTGCATCTTTTATCAGAGAGGAGAAAAAAAAGGAAAAACAGAATTGTTATATTTTCACCTGTCTACCAGTCGTTGAACTAATCATGTTTGATTTGCAGTTCCGTCTTTAAATGAACCAGATTTTACCTTAAACTTGTGATATATTATCAAAATCAGCTTATTCTACATGTCGGATTTTAAAATTTGTGTTGCACTGAACAGAATCTGTAAAAAACTAAAAATTCTGCACTCCTTGGCACAACCAAGAGTCCATTATTGACTCTCGATCTAACCAGCAGTCACATGATAACAATTCTGGGATTTATTTTTTTGCCTAAACTGCAGGCTTTGTTTACACAGAGCAGATTGGAGACAAGTATAAAAGCAAATCAAAAATGTAGTGAAAGATCTATTGCACATGGAGTCATTGCTGTTTCCAGCTTTGGCAACATGTTGGACTCAGTCTTTTCCATTTTTTGTAAAATAAATAATCAAAGAAATTCCACTTTACTTCTCTTAATGATTTGAGGCATTATAATTGTCACACGGCAGACGGCATGCGCCTTCTTCTAGCGATGGTGCAGGATTTCACAGGGCTCCAGGCTGCGACCAAAATTGACATTTTTTCGAGTGTGCGAGTTAACATTTCAAGCGGATGGATTGGTGCGAGTGCACAGTGATCATTAAGCTGTATTAGTGTCGCTGTAACCAGCACAGGAAGCTGCTGCGTGGACCACAGTAGTGGAAAGCAGTTCTTTGATAGCTTCGGTGTACCACTGTGTTTACTCTTTAAATTAGGTCTTCTTGTGAAAAACGGAGCGCACGTGCATACGCTGTTTTTCCCGCTCATAGAAAAGAGCGCATGTAAACAAAATCACTCGGTTTCACCTCCGACAAATCTGACATTAGAACGGCCTAGTTTACTCTTTTTAAAGGCATTTTTGGTGGCACACCTGTCTGAGCGCACTGCAGACTAGAATGGGGGGCGTTTAGGGAACAAAATTGGTAAATTCTAGTGTCTATCAATAAGAAGATGTTCAGCGAATCATATTTTTTGCCTGTGACAAGGTGGCAGGTGCAACCAAGTGAGAAAGTTGGTCGAACCAGTGCTACCAGTAAAAACGTTAGTCTGGAGCCCTGCTTTATACCTCAGTGAAAAATGAGCTCAAACTTGGTAAAAAGTGGAGCAAATAAACACCCAGAAGCTGCTTGGGGTTTAGTGGGTTAACGGGTATGGGTAGGTCTGATGGAGGAAGAAACACAATCAGACTTGTTTTAAATGAACCCACCCAATAAAACTACACCAATAAGTTATAGTATTTCTCTGAAGCTGCTTTAATGTGTTCGTATTTCCACGCATCACGCTGTCGTCTGTAGTGAGTAGCCGCTGCTTTCCAATGCTATTAAAGCTAAATCTGTCACTAGTGAACCAGAATGGTGCTTCTGAAGGCAATGAAAGCAAGAAAAATCAACAAATAATGGCCATTTGTTAAAATCCTCCCAACTGTTGCTTGTCGATGCTGTTCAGCATTGATTCCTCATTCTGATCTTCTCGTCTTTTGAATTCAGTGGCTGTCTGGTTTGATTGTGTTTCGAAGAAGGTGGTAGAGGAAGTGTCTGGCTTGGTGCACCACAAACAAACAAAGCCAGACATTGATCGCAGGCGACTGGCTCGCATCGAAAATCCACAAGACCTCCCGGTTGGGTAAGTGTAGAGGTTTGCTCAGTATAGTTTTAAAAAAAATAAATAAATAAAAATTGAAATGAAAGTGAAGATGAAGTTTTCACCACCAAACTGCCTGTTTCAATATTCGTCACAGTTTACAGACCGTGTAAGTGGCCCCGCCAAGTTTATCGTAAACATGCAACTGTCGATTATTACGATCATTACATCTGCTCTCACTTTCGGTTTCAACCTTTAAATAAGTGTATCCATCATAATGTGTTGGCGGTCTGTCTGACTGCTGCTGCTTCTTGCTGCGTGTTTAGTTATTTTATTGATGATGCCAGATTTTAGACTACAATGTAATAATAGACAGAAATGAGCTAAAGAGAACTTATCTGAGATCAGTGATGCACTAAAGCAGATCAGCCCCGACTCTGTACACCTGAAAGTCAAGTCAGGTTTTGTGTTTACAGCTCAGAATCAGAAAATTATCGCACAAGGTGTCAAAATCTGAATCATATACGTCACCCTGTCATTAGATCTAGGTTTGGATGATAAAAAGAAACAACTCTGCAACAGGTACAAAGATGTGAACCAAGCTGAATAAAGTGTCATTTACACACTTTAAGAAATACGCATTTTAGCAACTATGCCACTGATTAGCTTAGCTTAGCATAAAAAAAATAGAACTTTATTAATCCAGAAGAACATTCTTGTCCCAGATATTGCTGAGAAAAATTAGAACAACATAAGAATAAACCAAGAGCAGCATAGGAAGTACAAGCTAACACCATATCTAAGTTGTTTCATCAAAAAACAAAGACTGAAACCTTCAATTAGCTGTTTCCTTTCCCCTCATTATGCTAAGCTAGGCTAACTGTCGCCTATCTATAGCTTCATATTTACTGTACAGACACTAGAGTTGATCTTCTCATGCGACGCTCAGAAAGACTCGACATGAGCGTGTTTCCTGTAAAGGCTGCAGCTTTTCTTTAACAGTTGTCCAGGTTTGACTACAGAGCAGGTGTTGGCTCGTGTCATTAACTTCACAAAACACCCCTTTTTTCTTTCGCATCAGCCCGGCGGAGACCTTTGGATGTGGTCAGCTGAGCGGTTAGTCATGCTCACTCGACTGGATATCCTTCTGCCACCGTCACTTTTTTTTTTTTTTTAGAACTTCTCTCGCAACTGGAACCCGCTTTCACATTTCCCGACTCAGCTTTCACTTGAAACACTCATCCTGCGCAGTTTAAGTCGACTGCGGCCGCAAAACCGAGCCAGGTCGAGCTGTCTGAAAGTGTCTTTTAATGCGAAGCCGTGGTTGGATCTGGGAAGAACAGAGAGGAGGTTAAACAAACACAAAGCTCATTAAAATAAACCTCTGTCAACTCCCACTCCCTTTTTTTTTCTCTTCGCGAGGTACAGGAATGCGCTGTCGTGCTTCACATCCCACGTAGAATTGCTGCAGGACTTCAGGTAATGAATGAACAGGGGATGCCCACCCAGCAACCAGAAAACAAAAGACAACTGGGCAGAGTCGCTCCCAGACTGGTGAAGGATGACTGAGTTTCCCACCATTGTGCCACCTCATCAACACACACAAACACACACACTGGGCTGCATGTTAACACACATCCACTGCAGGAGCCTTTAATGAGTGTAGATGTCTGGGTTTTTACGTAACATCTAACATGTATCCTTCCAAAAGCTAAGTGGACAATAAACCTGTTTCATTGCCCAGAGCCAGAGTTTGTGAGTTTTACCATCATGAATTCACAAAAAAGCTCCTTATGATCTGACACCAAGAATTCAGCCTCTTTAATAGAAATGTAATCTCTTCGTTGTGCAACACGGTGACGAGTATGATGAGTAGCTGTGTAGGCATTTCATGTGCTCACAAAGTGCTGCGATGCTTTACGGCCCAGTAAACGTGTTCAAATGTTAGAATAAAGCAGCTTCACATGTCAGCCCTTCTTCTGCTGGGTCACAAACAGGAGCAAGGTGAGGTGAAAGACACAGACAGGTAAACAAACAGGAGGAAATATGTAGGTTCAAAGGCACTCTCCGCTACAGTAGGTGTGGAACACAAAGGTCATACGTTCATCTTTTAAAGGAATAGTTGGGTATTTTGGGGAATACAGTGAATATGAAGCTGCAGCCAGCAGTCGGCGTAGCTTAGCTTAGCATAATGACTGGAAACAGTAGGAAACTGCTAGCGTGGTTATGCAAAAGCAACAAAACCCACATAGCAGCATCTTTAAAATGCATTATTTAATGTGCATCATGGTGTCTGTTTATTTTTTCTCCTTTACGGAGGTTCTTTTTTTACTTTAGACATTGCTTTCATGTGTTTTTAGCTTTTTGTGTGTGTATATTTATTTTAGAGCTGGTTAGTACAAAATTCTGTTGTTTAGTTATATAGAATGTATTTGACCTATATGTTCATAGATGGATAGATGCTCAGGAAATGAGTGCACATTTAGCTGCTAAATTAATACAACAACAACAGAATACATAACACAAGATGGAACAAAATAAATAAAGACAATAACTATATGTATGAAGAGTTCATTTTCAAAAACAGATAACTCCATTTTTATAGATTTTCAGAAAATGTATTTATTTTTTATTGTTTGCTTGGGATAATATCAATCAAACTGAAGTTCAGTGGAGTTGACTGAGTAGAAATGACATGACAAAAACAGAGATAACTTAACTTTGATTGATATTGTCTCAAGTAGACGATGGAGAAGTGGGTTTTCTGAAGGTTTGTGAAGATGGTGTTGTCTGTTTTTGCAAATGAACTCTTCATATGCTACTAAAAAGATTAGGTTTGACTTGTTTTGTTTGTGATTCCTTGAAATAAAGTAATAATATTTCATTAAAATAACCCACGTAAGCACATATAGTTGTAAACTTAGTAATGACTCATAGATATATTGGTACTAATGCATCATGAGAAGATTTCTATATTCGACTACGGTTGTGATGGCTTGTGTCACCACATAAATGTCTACAGAACTATCTTCCTGTTTTGATCAAACATTTTACAGCCCTTCATTTATTAGGAATTCATAATATAATAATTTAAATTACAGAAAGCTCCTAACCCTGTTTCGCAACCATTCACCACAGCCCATTGCCACTGTAGTAGATCCAGCACAAAGAAATCTAGGATTAGCCGTTATTTATCTGTTTAAATCAGTGCGAATGAATTCATCTGCATCCTAATAAGCTTCTTTGTCGTCGTCATCCCGAGTGTTTCAGGTTGGGAAAATGTCTGACCTTGTCGTCGCCTCTGTCTTTTGATGTGGCTGCTCTGTTTGTTCACCAGCGCCGGCGGTCTGCTCGCTCCCATTCAACGCTCCGCCACTTGCTAAATCCCCCACTCCGGGCCGGCCAGCAGCGACGGCATTGTTTGCGTTTTGCACCAGGAGGTGAGAAACATGCGTTCTCGCTCACACCTCGCTAGCCGGCTGCAGAGCGAGTTCGACGCAGGTCAGGTGCGACTTTTCACCTGCGTTCTAACTCGACGGGTCACGAATGAGGCTACCAGGAGATGAAACCTTTAATTTAAGCCTCCCGTGCTTTTATTTGACAATTTCACGTGACTGATTGTGTTTGAGTCAAGTGGAATAAAACTTTTTGCATGCTGGACGATAAACATTACTTCCGCTCGTCTCTCCGATAGCAGATGTGCAAACACTAGGGGGTGTTTTTTGCGTTTGTCTGTTTAAGGTTGCTGCGTTTAATAGGAGGGTTTAGAAGCCAATCGCGGTCCAGGATGCTTTACACAAGCACCATGGAAAAATATTACTTCATTAGAAGTTGTCTAAACCTAAAGAAGATTGATGCAGAATGTGGCGCGTTCAAATAGTTTGTCGAGCCCCAACATTACTTTTAAAGGTACATTCCTGGAGGGGATCATTCTTGCTCTGTTTGTACAACGCTAAAACAGCAGGATGTTTGATTTTTTTTTAAATATAAAGTTTACTAAAATAGAAACTTAAAACTTGTAATCATACTGGAATCTTAAAATGGGTCGAATCATAAGGCTTTGAAATTTCAGATAATTTATCAAATTTGCTCGTCGGTGCAGTTCAAAACACAGCAGCAAGAATTTTCACTTTCACTAAGTCTGACTACAAAGCGATAAGATTGCTCTATCTCCTCCATCTTTGCACCATTGTTCTTCGGAAACAAGCTGAGAAAATGTGCTAAAAATATCCTCCGCTGCAGAGCACTCAGACTGTTTCTGCTGCAGCTGGACAGAAGAGTTTTTGAAGAATCTGAAAGTGTGTTCACGTGTTGTCAAACACCCTGCAGGGTTTTCCACAGCTTGGTGTGAGTTTACTGTAGCTGCGAGAAGGAAGGTTGATGTCTGACTCAGAAGCGTAATGCAAAGCACTCAAATGTAAAACACGACAAGCACAAAGTACCTGAAACCGTGATTCACAGGCTGCTTTTAGAGTTACTCAGAAAACAGTGAACAACGGTCACGATCACAGCTCCGAGGGTGGCGCGGTTATAAAAGCATCCGTCTATCTACAAAGTGTAGAGTCTGAAAAGTAAAAGTATTTTTGTTAACAGTAAAGTTTCCAGAGACAAAAACATTATGACTCATCAGAAACAGGAACTATTAAAGATACTGCCAGTTTACATGAAGTTACTCATTGATATGTATTCCAGACTGCAAGGCATCAACTTAATTCAAGTACAAATAATTCAGTATTTGCTCTCATCTGAAGAACAAATATTAATGTATTTACACATTTTAGCACTTGTTTGCTTTATCACAATGAGCCGCTGAGTCACGAGTGCAACAAATGGGAGTACGGTGTTGCTTTAAGTGAACTGAAGACTTCCAATTCATTGACGAGGGGGAGCAAGCAGCTGAAACTAAAGAGAGGAAACCATCGTATCATGTTAAGTTCCTCTTGTCTTAACAACTCTAGCAGCACCATAAATGGAAGGAGCCTCATTCACAAATTTGCACTCTGTGAACCCACGACCAGCAACCCGGTGCAACCTCTGATACTGAGACCGCAAAATGCACAGCCTGAGCCAAACAGAGCATGAGTGTTACCTTTCCCTTTTGCAGGATGGCAGTAAAAATGCAAATATAGCTTGTGC